AATAAGCATTAAATAATGCCAAAATGGGGCATTTTCAATGCCTCACTGCTCCTTAATGAGCATGGGCACCTCCCTTTTTTATTTCAAAATTGAAGTGACAAATATTCAGTGGACAAAGTTTGAACAAAAATCTATTGTCACTTTTATTTCAGAGGAATTACCTTAAGTATAGTACTAGGAATGAGAGAAAGTTGCCGAGGAGTCCCACGTGAGAACCACTACGCGCAAACAACTGGTGTAGTGACCGTTGCACCTGACTAGTCATCAGGAAAACATGGGTTTGAATCATGGAAACTGAATACGCAACTGCACCAGGTGCCGCCTAAGAGTAGTTTCGCTAACTGTGAGTTTGCTAATGCTGGTAGGCCAAATAAAAGAGCAGTCATTGCTTACTGCACTCTTAAAGAACGAGGAGCAGTCAGTGTTTTCACTTTCAAGTGCAGTAATACCAAAGCTAGAATCTAATAGACGTTATCACAATTTAGCGAACTGGCCGTTAGCGACACAACTCGTAGTTGGAACGACCCGTTTAGCCCAAAGCTACTGGCCCCTCTTAAACACCCAAACACCTCACGTGTCGTTTAAACGTCAGTAATCAGTGAGCTCATTGTTACCTTCTAGAACACAGCTGGATAATGAGAGTAATCGCCTTAAGCTTATCCTTTGAGAACTTTCTTTCCAGGGTATCCAGTTGGAATTGGTTAGCAAAAAGCTCTTCCCCTCGGAGAACGCACATTCCCTCCTGGATGATAATAAGAAAAAAGCTTCTGTTATTTGTCTTAAACAAAGCACAAGTTACTGAGTTCAGTGCTATTCAAGTTGCTCAAATTCCCCACAAAGAAGTGCATAAAAATACAAATATGTCTGGATTTATGAAAACAGTGTAAGGAAATCACGTCCTGCTCTCTAAAGAGGACGATATAAAAATAAAAAATAGTGTCAGTCTTTTTTTTTCCCTCCTGTTATCTTCCTTTTCTTGCTCTTCTCTCTATTTTTTTTTTCATCACTTGGAGCGATTTCAAGGCCTTTAGGAGTCGTGAATTCAAAGTGCATATGGGTGATTTGGTGCAAAATGTTGACACGGTTTTCATAAATCGAGTCGTAAATATATTTAAGTTTATTTGCCTGAAGGGAAGCCATTAGAAATAAGTATCACCAAAAAGGTTTGCAGCCAGATCTCTTTATAGAGTGGATTTCAACTGAGGGTGTTAAAACCAAAACCAATCGAGTGAACCAATCAAAACTCGAAGCAAATAAATGAAGCCGATGCAAAGCGCGGCAAAATGTGTGTGAGTGAGCCGAGAACTAAGGCAAAACACATGCTTGATAGAAATAGAGCAGTTTTCATTTAGCGTTGAAAACCAAAACCAAAGTAATAACTCAAGCCAATCACAAAAGACACAGTAGGGAGTTTTAAGAAACCAGGACGCGACGCCGAGGACAACATGGATTAAAAAATGATTTTATATTTTACCTCCGAATCTCGCGATATACTCTGAAGTCATTTTCCTTTGTTTCTTAGGTCAAGACCATCACGAAATTGAATCTCGGACAGGGCGAAACATTTGAAATAAAAGTAAAAAAATTAGCCGTCGTGGTTCACGTTCTCTGGACACCGCAGAATTTGGTCATTTCACATTGTTGTTTTGTGACGGCAAAGAAATGTACCAAGAATTATAACGCACGTGCACAGCCATTGTTCTGCTCATTAAACCTTTTGTTTAGCGACGTTCCCGTTGCCGTCGTGGTTTCCTTAAACTCCCTAATAAACCAATCAAAACTCCAAGTAATTACATGTAGCTGAAGCGAAGCGCGGGAAAACGAGTGCAAACGAGTCAAGGTTGGTTTGGGGTTTATTTCTGATTGGATGAAAAAGGGGCGCGAGTTTCTTTAAGCCAATCGTGTGGCCTAGTAAGTGCAAAACCAATTACTTTTCGATGCTCAAATGAAAAGCGCTCTATTTAGAAAACTTACCCTTAAACCTGCCGGAAGGTCATTCTGTCGGATGGTCATTGGGTCATCCTAGTTCCATGAAGCAAGTGTAACAAAATCAAAATTAAGCAATAGGTCACCATCAAAGTTGAATTGTAAAAATGACGAACAGCAAACGCAGCAAATATAGAACAACAGGAATAAAGGGAGGCAATATTGAAATTGTTGGAATTGTTGAAATAAATTATCCAAGTCACATTAACAGAGGAACACATGTGAATTACCTCCTCCATATCATCTGAATTCTCACATTCTCCTAAAGGGTCCGATGAAGCACGAGATTCTGAAAACAAATAGTATTTCTTTACATGAATATCAGGATCATAAGTTAGCTGTAGCTTTCATCTACAGAGACATCGCAAATTTACTTCTTAAATGTTTCAAAAGTGCCGTAATTTGAGAAAAAATCTCCACTCTACTCTCGTTAAAGAATTTTTAAGTGAATCGAAAACTGTACAAAAAAGAAATAGCAAACACACAAAGGTAACGAGGAAAGGCGTTTTCATTATATATATTTTTCATATTACCAACTACTAAATAATTGTTGATGTTTATCCCAAGTTCATTGCATAGTGTTGTCAATTATATTGGAAAACAAGTTCATATGGGAATTAGTGACAAAACAGTAGTAGTAGTGACAAAATAGACAAAATAGTAGTGAGAGAAAAGTGACATTCCAAAAGAACTTTTAGACAGCGAAGTCCAATCACAAGATGTGTTTGCTGGTATCCAAAGTGGCTTTAATTTATTGACACCCAATCAATCAAAGGAATGACATGCAGTGTTGAGCTAATATTAACTCCACTTCTTGGATTTAAGAAATTCTTTAGAAACTTGTTACAATAAAATGCAATTACCTGACGAAAAACCTCGAGTGTTTGATACTGGAGCGTGAAATTCAAAGTCACCAAATCCTCCAAATCCCCGTGTTGTGCCTGGTTTTCTGCAATGCATAACATGACAAGTTCAACGCTTTCTGCACGTATTGCATGCCTATGATACAGCACTCTGCATGCATTATATGCAGACCTATGATGGTAGATAATCACTCATGACAATATAGCCCCAAAAGAGTAGATAATTATCTAGCCCTCTGCGTGCATTATGGACCTATGATGACAGATCTGATTATCTAACACTCTTGATGCATTATAGACCTATGATGACAGATAATTATCCAGCACTCTGCATGCATTATAGACCTATGATGATTAAGATAATCATGAATGCAGCATGCTGTAAGCTTTGCAGGCCTATGATGCTTGATAATTATCTAGCTCTCTGCATGCATTACCAACCCATGATGATAGATGATCCTGAGTGTAATATCTGTCTGGCTAGACAAATCCTTTGCCTTGCACAAGTGTGCATCAAGGAATTTGGGAGGCTTCTAAGATACAACTACAGTGTAGCCCTAATCACATATTAACTGACTAATGTGCATGTCACTTTTCTATGTATTGTACAGAATATGCTCTGCTGATATATAATGACGAAAGAGATTCTTACCCCAGAGAGCTGAGTTTGACTCCCCTATGAGTGGCTGGTGCTCGATTTTCTTTCTGCTGAGCACTCACAACTGTAACCTCTGAACCATTCTTCATGCCCAGGTCAATCAGCTGTTTGGAACCACTGCCACAAATCTCTTTGTTATCTAGTTTTAATATGGCATCAGTCTGTGGTATTTGAAGTTCTTTCTTAAGTTCATTCACTGTTGCAAACCAGGCTATCGAAATCTTCTTTACCTCCTGACTGGGCAAGTGTACAATGATGTTGATATTCATGTCTGTCACAACCTTAATAACTGGCTTTTTTGATTTTAAAAACATTGTTGCCAGGGAGTCTGTCTCTTTTAAATCTTCCCCATTGAGCTGAAGTCGTTGTTTCTTTATGGGTACACTCATTTTTTCTGCAATTGCATCCATCACTCTTTTACAAGAGTCATGACGAGGGTCAACCCTGATGGTAAAGGCATCCAAGCCCAGAGGCGCGATTGACATTGGCTCTTCATTGGTAAGCACTTGGATAATGTCACCATCTTTTAATGAGCAAGATCTAAGAGATTCTCAAAAGAAAGAAAATTAGTTTCTCTGTCAGAGTGTGTTTAACAGCCAAAACATGGCCTTAATTGTGTTGTGAGAAAATTACGCCTGACAAGAGAAATCTGATCTGGGGAGGGGGGTACTCCCATATGAAAATGATGGGGCAGCTCATCGTACCTTTTAGGGGTTAAAAATGTGGTTTTGGTACCTTTTAGGGTATTGAGCCGAAAAGATATGACAGGGAGAAAAATATTTCAAGCCACACCCATAAAAAAGGATCATGGTACCTCTTAGGGGTTCTTTTGCAAATTTCCGATGAGCACCCTGTCTTTTTTAGATGGGAGTCCTGCCCGGGAATCTGATGCCTGCATGGTCATGGTATTTGATGCCCTGGGAAGGAAAGCTTAATATCATCTCACTGTTTGGGGTCATCACACAATGCTCTGTCCTCCAACAATGGCTGCTTAAACCTGAACCGTATTCTTTTCCTTTTGACCGCAACCACTTTAATATCCATTGGCAAAAAAGGTCATAATTTATTGCTGTTTGTCTAAATGGTGCAAGATTGCTTCAATTCTTGAACGTGAATGCCTGTTAGTACTACTTACAGTGTACTACTTATAGTTTTCCAAAATGTGTTCTGACAGTTCCTTTTATCACTGATCTTGGTCTGGAAAATATTCCCTAATATTTGCTGGGTAATTTTTAACCCCAGAATTGGTTTGATCTCCACCAAATCAAATATGGTGAAATATTGACATGAAGTCATGTCACTCTACAAATGAATCCACTTAACAGTTATTTCTCAGGAGATTTGTGGAGATAGTGAAATAACCTGACATTGGCATAGAACTACAAATGGTCTGCAGGCATGTTCTCAGACACTGCGAAAGAAGCAAAGGCAATACTGCAACAGATGAACAGCTCATGGCTTGCTTTGCTTGTCCTGCACTGCATGAGAGCCTGCTGCATACTAAAATAACAATATACAACTTATTGTGCTTAATTATTTAATTCCCCTGTTGCCATGTACAGACTTCATAACACATTAATTATTCACCTCGTTAAATATTCTGAAATTATTATAAACCAGCATATGATAATCTGCATATTTGAAATAACTAAGTCATGGAAAACTTGCAAGTGTGTAGTTTTTTAATTAACAAATTAAACACTGGTAGGTATTGATAGCAGTTAAAGATTTTGTTTAAATATCACTAATTATGTTCTCTTGATAATAATTTAATGATAGAATGATACATTTGGTCATGTACCTTACAGAAGTTTGCTCTTCTAGTACTTTTCCATTTCTTATCAAACATGAGACAATTCCGAGGCGTTCCCACAGTGTTCTGTTGATCTCTTCTTTCAGGTCATCAACAGTTGCTTCCTTGAAACCAGTCAACAAAACTTCATGCTTTTTGTCAGATCTTACATGCTGTACAAAGAGTGCCATTGCCTCAGGCTTGAATTCCAGTTCGATTTTACCATTGGACTCAACACTGTCAACTGGATTAGCTTTTGAAGATGGCATACATTCAGGTGAATCACTGGTGAATGTCAGCTTGCCCTTCTCCCAAGCAGAACCTTCTATAATCAGAGGGTTAGTCTGCTGTGCATCTACACTCCAAAACCCAAGGTACCTTCCCCCAAATGTTATGTCCACCTCCGCAGCTTCAAAGAATTAAGTCAGTTTCAAATATTTAGAACTGCATGACTGTACATAACACTATGCCTTATTCTATCTGCTGACTTACAATTAAGGATTGAATGTTATTAAAACACTCCTATTTCACAACAATATTCAAAATACCAATTACTAAATGCGAAAGATCATGGTTTGTGCAGTGCCTGGTAGAGTTATGTATTAACTATTTGTAATCTTTTGGCTTGACTCATATTTTCGGACTCTTTTTCCAGCTTAAAAATATATATATACTATTATTATTGTCATTAATTATACAAAGTACTATAATCATGGATCATGCATACTAAAGGCATCTTTGGTCGAGTGTCAGTCGATACCCTTGATCAATGCCCTTGATTGACCCTTGATCGATAGTCCATTAACACCTTGGTTGACACTCGCTTGACACTCCACCAACATCTCGGTCGACAGTCGGTCAAGAGTTGACTAATTTTTAATGGATTCATATGAGTCAGTTGACAATCAGCTGAGTATCAACCAACTGTTGAGTAACTGTTGACAGAGTGTCGACCGAGATGTCGATTGAAGGTATCGATTAAGAGTATCAATCGGTACTTGACTGGGGATACCTTTCGTGCACATGAACCATAATCATAATAAAACATAAAAAAATCTGCCATATTATGTCATTGGACCAGATACAAAAGAAAATTATGCAGCTTCTAAGCATTAGGTGTGGATCTCAGTAAAAATATTGAATGTCAGCTTTGTTAATTAATTGTGTGTCATACGATACGAATTAATTGGAGGTCAGCTGAACAAACAATAAATGTGGGCTGAACGTGCTTGGCTAGAAGGGTAATAAGTTTTCAAGACGTATTTTACGTTTCTCACCATAATCATTGCTATTTGTTATAGCGATGGAAAACGTAGTTCCATTGTCCATCATGACCACACCTTTCTCACTAGTGCATTCACAGAGACTCCCATTACTGATTGCTACAGAATAACCCTTCTTTTTGTAACTTTTCAGCTGCAGTTGTGGTGAGTCAGTTGTAGGGGTTTCATAGCTGTTTAACAAGGGACTTGGATTGACTGGAAATATCGGATCTTTACTGCCACATGAATCTGATTCTGAAACTTGAATAGGTACATGTATTTCAATTAGTAATTTATAACCAGAAACTGATATATTAATTAAGTTTAAGAATAATTTTAAAATTTAAACCAAAGCTAAATACCATTCACGTTCACCAGATTTCTGATACATTTTCTTCCCAAGATCAAGTTTCATGCAGAGTTAAAAGTCATTCCTCTTTTTCTGGCTCTACTTCTGGTATTGGTGTGTGCATGACATTGTCTCTTGAACAACTCATTGTAATGACTACAGCACTACGAAATGGCAGATCATGTGTACTTAAATGGCATCTGCAGACAAGTGATGATCGATACCCTTGATTGACATCTTGATCGATACTAGATCGACACTCTATCAACATCTCGGTTGACGCACAATCAACACGCAATCGACATCTCGAAAGTCCCAGTTACTTGCATTCAATTTACTTAGTACATCAAGTGTAGGTGTACAGACAACCCAATCAATTATGGATTGGGTTGTCTGTAAATCTGCACAAATGTAAATTGAATACAATTAACTGGGAGGTATTTTGCTTAAAGTAAATGACTTCCCACACACATGCTGTGCATCCACTATTTCTTCAAATGTTATTTTATTAATATTTTCTTAGAGGCCATGAAGGGTTAAAATTACCTTGCTTGCTTGAATTCGTCGTTGTCTCCTCATCCAACTTGTTGAATCCC